AGCTTTTTTATCTTTCTTTGGCCTGCAGGAGTCCTAAGGGAGGTCTCACGGGAGGATCTTAACAGAATATTGATCAGCCTTCCACATGTCCTTCAATATGTTGATTCATCAAAGTGTGTGTATAGAGGGGTCAGGGTTATTTTCTGGCTAGTGTTATTTTTGAAGAACCTCATCGACAAGGGACTGGGACAGAGGCTGATCTGCCCCAGTGTAGTCTGGAGTATGTAAAACATTTGCTCTTATGTGTTCTTGGTTAGGAAAGATAAAGCTTTGGGATTCCTTTGCTGCCTGTAAATTGCTCAGATTGTTTGGCCTTGTTTAATTGTTTTGTATCTGTTTTCCTTATTCTACTTGTCAAAAAATTTTCCAAGCTTTCTACAGAATTGAAGTCAGAGAATATAGTTCTCATGCTCTCTCTCTCTCTCTCACTCTCTCTCTCTCTCGGGTGGAAAATTTTATTGACAATTTATGTGCCTTGTTATTGTAAAATATTCTGTAGGTCATATCTTTGTTTTTTTTTTTATTTGTAGAATGAAGAGCTGCAAACCAAGCCAGGACCAACTGTCCCCAAATTAACTGGAAAAACTAGAGATTTTTTTGTGTATTTGAAAGCATCAGAATGTTATCAAAAGTCACTGGGCCCAAATTCTGGGGACTGACAGGAGAATGGGCACATAAAAGTTGGCACATGGTCATCATTATGGTGGGAGTGATATTCTCTTTTGGCTTTGCACGTCCTAATGGAACTTAAGCCTCCATCCATTTTTAAATAACCAAGTCTGAACCAGGATAAGGACAATTATAAACCAATCACAAAGATGAATATAAATGTAATAATTACAAAGTTGTTGTAGTAGTATATATGCAAATTAAATAATGGCCATGTGAAGATTATCCCAAGAACACTACTGGTCACCAAAAGAAAACATGACTATAATCCAGTGATAAAATAAATCAATAGATGAAAAGATCCATCCATATGATCACTTTTTAGTATATTTTATTGATTATGCTATTAAAATTGTCTCATTTTTCTCCCCTTTATCTCCCTTTGCCCTGCACCCCTCTTCCTCCATCATTCCCCGACTTTAGTTCATGTCCATGGGTTGTACATATAAGTTCTTTGGCTTCTCCATTTCCCATACTATTCTTAACCTTCTCCTGTCTATTTTGTACCTACCGATTATGACTCTTATTCCAAGTACTTTTCCCCCATCCTCTTCCCTTCCCCCCTCAGTGATAGCCTTCCATGTGATCTCCATTTCTGTGATTCTGTTCCTGTTTTGTTGTTGTTTAGTTTTGTGGGGGTTATTTGGTTTTTGTTTTTTAGGTTCAGCTGTTGATAGTTGTGAATTTGTTGTCATTTTACTGTTCATAGTTTTGATTTCCTTCTTTTTCATAGACATGTTCCTTTAACATTTCATATAAGGGCTTGGGGATGATGAACTCCTTTAACTTGACCTTATCTGGGAAGCACTTTATCTACCCTTCCATTCTTAAAGATAGCTTTGCTGAATAAAGTAATCTTGGAGGTAGGTCCTTGCGTTTCATGGCTTAGAATACTTCTTTCCAGCCCCTTGTTGCCTGCAAGGTTCTTTTGAGAAATCAGCAGATAGTCTTATGGGAACTCCTTTGTGGGTAACTGTCTTCTTTTCTCCTGCTGCTTTTAAGAGTCTCTCGTTATCTTTAATCTTGGGTAACTTAATTATGATGTGCCTTGGTGTGTTCCTTCTTGAGTCCAATTTCTTTGGGACTCTCTGAGCATCCTGGACTTGCATGTCTATTTCCTTCACCACACTGGGGAAGTTTCCTTCATTATTTTTTCAAATAAGTTTTCAATTTGTTGTTCTTCCTCTTCTCCTTCTGGAACCCCTATGATTCAGATGTTGGAATATTTAAAGTTGTTCCAGGGGTTCCTTAGCCTTTCTTCATTTTTTTTTTTTTTGAATTCCTGTTTCTTCATTCTGGTCCAGTTGGATGTTTATTTCTTTCTTCTGTTCCAAACTATTGATTTGAGTCCTGGTTTCCTTCTCTTCACTGTTGGTTCTTGTATATTTTCCTTTATTTCACTTTGTATCACCTTCATTTCCTGCTTTATTTTGTGTCTGTAAGCATCATTTCTGTGAGCATCTGTAACCAGTGTTTTGAACTTTCCATCTGATATGCTGTCTATCTCCTCGTCTCTCAACTCTTCTTCTGGAGTTTTGGTATGTTCTTTCATTTGGGCCATATTTCTTTGTGTTGGCATACCTGTTATGTTGTAAGGGGTAGAGCCTTAGGTACTTGCCAGGTTGGAGCAACCCACTTGGCTGCATTGTGGTGCTGTCTGTGGGGGAGGGCTCAGAGAAGGAACAATGCTGTCAGGCTCTCACTCCACTTGCATTCACTTCCCCTGCTACCCAGAAGCAAATTGGGCCCTTCTGGTGCTGATTTCCGGGTGGGTCAGTTTGTGTAGGTTCTAGGACCCTGTGGGTCCCTCCAACAGACTCCTGTGAAACTGGAAGTTTCTCCCATTGCCACAACCCCATAAGATTTCTACAGGTAGAGGTTTTAAGGCTTTATTTCCCAGTGCTCTCACCCTGGGTTGCATGGTCTCTCTTGACCCCAGTTGTTCCTACCAGTTTATCCACACACAAATATGGGACCAGCTAGTTCACCAGCCCCGCCTCGCCTGCCAGGGCTGCCAGCAGCTGCCATGCTGCATGTCCTCTCTGCCCTGGCTGCCCAACTCTGCCCCTTCTGCCAGTCTGGATCAATGTTTCTTCTTTAAGTCTTTGGTTGTTGGACTTCCCTACAGTTTGATTTTTTGGCAGTTTTGGTTGTTTTTTGTTTTTTAATTGGTTGTTGTCCTTCTTTTGGTTGTGTGAGGAAGCAAAGCATCTCTATGTACACCTTCACCTTGGCCAGATGTTGATCATCTTAATAAAAACAAAATTTTCTTCTGTAGTATTTAAAATCTAAAAACTCTTAGCAAAGTAGAACTGGAAGGAAATTTTCTTAAGCCAATATGGAATCCTGCCAAACACCTTCAATAAATAGCATTTGAAGATGAATCTCACTCTGGTTGGTGTGGCTCAGTAGATTGAGCAAACTGAAAACTCACCAGTTTGATTCCTAATCAGGGCACTTGCCTGGGTTGCTGGCTAGGCCCACAGCTGGGGAGGTGTGACAGGCAGCTGATGGATGTTTCTCTTGCACATTAATGTTTCTCTACCTCTTTATCTTCCTCCCTCCTCTCTCTCTAAAAGTAAATGAATAAAATCTTTTAAAAAATAACAAAGATGAATCCTAACTATATGCCCATGGAAATCAGGGATAAGGCAAGGATGCCTGTAGCACCCCTACTACTCAGGCTTATTATGGATGTTCTAATTTATACAATTAATAAGAAAAGGAAGTAGCCCTAGCTGGTGTGGCTCAGTAGATTGACTGTCAGAATTTGAACTGAAAGGTTGCCAGTTCCATTCAGAGTCAGGGCACATGCCTGGCTTGCAGGCCAGGTCCTCAGTTGGGGGCATATAAGAGACAACCAATTAATGTATCTTGAAGACATTGATGTTTCTCTCCCTCTCAATCTCTCTCCCTTCCCCTATTTCTAAAAATAAATAAATAAAATCTTTTAAAAAATGGAATCAAGCTATAAGGACTCATAGGAAGGGAAAAACTCAATATTTGCTAAGCATAGACTCTATGACAAGATATTAAATTAATAAGATAATTCAGCAGTTGGTAGCTATAGGATGCATGTATAAAATCAACAATGTGGCCATACAACACAATACCCAGTTCAAAATATATGAAAAGAGGAGAAAGATGGTGGAGGAGTGAATGGAAGCTACATTAACCTCCTCCCAGGACCAAGTGGAATTCATAACTAAATTTTAGAGAAATTGTCCTGAATAACCAACAGCACACTAGCTGGAGAGAAGCCTTATATCCAAGGATAGACAGAAGAAACTACTTCACCACAATGTGATTGTAGGGAGTCTGGAGGAAGCACAAGAGGACTGGCTGGGCTCCCATGTGTGGCAGCTAAAGTTACGGAGGGATACTTCAGTAGTTGGGGGATTCCACCCTCATGGAAGAAGGGATTAAGCTCCACTTCTTCCCAAGGACAATACTGACAATATTGTAACTGACAGGAGTGGAAATAGACCCCTCTGTGGGTAATCAGCTGTCTGGTTTGCCTATGACTGAGCAGCTTCCTGAAATGTTGGTCCTTCAGTGCTAAACCTGCAGTCCTGGAAACAGTGATCTTAGTCATCCTCAGTCCAGTGTTCTTGATTTTTGAGTGGGATAACTGTGAAACTCATAACTATGGCTCAGAGTTCCTCAGCAGGATTGGTCTTCTAGTACCCATAAACTTAACCCCCTTGAAATCTGTCATTTATCGGCTATCTTTCCTTCTGTCTCACTCCCTCCATTTTCCTAACATTGCTTCCCAAGGTTGTCTCCAAAAAAAACCCTACTTGGTTTCTGACTATGTTTCTGAAGCAGCCAGCCTAGGAAAACTACTGTTCCTTGATCTCCGAGTAAGAAGGTGAGGGGGTTTGGGATGAAAGGTGTGGGTTGAGAGAAAGTTGTTGCAGATATGAGATGTTGCTGATACAGTTACAATGACACAAATGACATGGGATCTTTGGGCAGATGGGCCTCAACAGTATGGTCTGGGGTCAGGAGGGGTGAGGGTACAGGCCCTATGAAAGTGTTTGAAACAAGGAAGGAGTGGCTGAACTTTTATCTACAGTTGGATGATAGTCATTTGTGATGAGAGGAAGCAACTTGCCTGTGAGAAATGCTGGCACATTTAATGTATCCGATGAGGAAGCAATTGTGTTGCTTCAGGTGGGAAACTGATGGAAGAGGAGGTTACAGCAGGCTGAGGAAAGTTGAGAAGAAAGTTCAACGTAGTTTCTTGTGGAAGAATAGATGTTTAGAGGGAAGCACAAAGGTGACTCTCGGAAGAGTGCTGTGATAGTCCTTTATGGAGGGGGTCAGGGATGGTTGAAGGTAAGTCAGGCAAGATCACTCAGGCGTCTACCAAGGGCCAGCATCATGGGGAAGCCCATCTAGGGAACAGGTCATGTAAGGACATGAGCAGCTCTGTTCCTTCCTGGTAAGTTTGAAAGTGGTAGGACACCTATCAGAAACTTTGGCAGAACCCTCCCATGAAGGATGTGTGGAGACACAGATCCTAACATGGCTCATGACATGATTGTCTTCCCAGGTTTTTCCTCAGCACTGGGTCCTGGAGGAGGGTGGACAGACAGTGACTACCATGTTCAGGTCTGTATTGTGGGCCTTTAAGGGTCTTCATTGCTCCTCGGTCTTTCTCTCAGCAAGAATGAACAGCAGAAGGGCACATAGGAGCAGTGCCCTGGCTGGGAACGTGGCTGTGATCACTGGGTCCACATATGGGTGAGTGAATGGGAATCCAAGTGCCCAAGAGATGTTAGAGTCCCCATGCTGGAGAGGGTCTGTCCTTCTCACACATCCGTCTGGACACCCCACCTCATTCCACAGCCCTGACATTTATAATTAACTCCAAATCTCATCATGTCTTCCTAAAACATCTGGTCTCTAAGTTCCAAGAATGATATATTTGGAAAATCAGCTGCTTCTGACTCAATCAGAGCAGTGTTTGAATCTAGTCTCTGCTACTTACTGACTGAATAACCCTATGATATTTAACTTGTTATCCTCATCAGAATGGGTATATGGCCATGGTCTTTTAGGGACCTGGTCCAATATGGAGAAGCCCAAGACTTACTGGTCTCCCAGACTGACAGATTCCACTGACAGCAGAGGGCCCACCAGCAGCAGGGCACTGGGCAGGGTGATGTCTCAGACCAGCTCAGAGAGATTTCATGGATGAACCTCTTCCTCACATCTCCTCCTATGGCCCTCCTATTCCACTCATCCTCCAACTGCCACAAAGGGCTGGGGTCTATAATGAGTCATTACCGCAGGCGGGAAGAGGGGAGAATTCTGGTGTTCAGTGCTTCCGGGCATTGTCTTCTTTCTGACCTTTCATGGTCTATAATGTTATAATTTACATCCCTTTATTTTAGAACTGTTTAATATTCTGGAGTTTCAGATCCCCATACTGTTTTAAATCTGTGTGTCCCCAATGCCCAGCCCTCATTACAAATGAATAATTCAAAATTCCAAACTGCCCAGTTTATGTGAGAGCAGGGAAATGTGCCTTCAGCCCTTGATCACATGGCCTCAAACAGCCCTAGTCAGGATGAGTACCAGACCTCCTTAAAGTAAGGACATTAAAGTGAGGGGGCAGAACATATTCTCATTCTCAGCATCAACGTTTTTAAGCTGCAGAGCAGAGGAAAGTCGCAAGGCTCAGAGAAAGTGCAATTTACACCAGAGGCCTCTGGCTAGAATCAAGGGAGAAAACACTGGGTAGTTCAAGATTCTCTGCAATTGAGGCGAGGTGCCCAGCTCTTTTACACGTGTTCTGATGGAGCACTACTTTCTCAAATTCCTTTTACTAAGTTGATATCAAAAATTTCTCATTTATATGAGTATTATACATAGAGTTGTGAGAATTAACTGGCTTAATGTTGTTGAAGGCCACATGTATAGGAAGCCTTTCAGTAGTTCCACTTTCCCACTCAAAAGATTGGGAGGCAGCTCTTGGACCACATTTTGGAACTCAGTTAGTGTCTCACGATCAGACTCCTCAAAGAAGGGTGGGGAGGGCCGAAGCCATCACAGCCATTTCTGCCCACAGGATCCGCTTTGCCATTGCCCACCGTCTGGCTCAGGACGGGGCTCACGTGGTGATCAGCAGACGAAAGCAGCAGAACGAGGACCGGGCGGTGGCAGCGCTGCAAGGGGAAGGGCTGAGTGTGACAGGCACATATGCCATGTGGGTAAGGCCGAGGACCGGGAGCAGTTGGTGGCCACGGTGAGGGGACAAGGGGTGAAAGGATACAGGGAGGAGAACATGCAGAACATTTTCCTCACTGTTCAGCCCCGGGAGGAGTAGGCTCCGGGATGGGGGTGTGGAGGGCTTCGAACAAACACATCCAGAGATCATGATTGCTCAGTCTAACTGGGCAGACACTGACTTTCTGCAAAGTGGCCTGTTCATGAGAGGAACCTCTGCCCTCCACCCCAGTCCCTACACCCTGAGAGAACTGTGGTTGAAAGGTGTGAAGGAATTTCCCCATCCCTAGCACACAGAAGGATTCCGGGAGAAGACCCTGCTCTCTGAGACCCTTAGCACAGAGAGCCTGCCTCTGGCCCATCCAGGGCATCTACCTTCACTAGGAGTTTTGTTCTCACAGGAGTCTTTTGCCATCCATGGCTGATCCAGTATCTACTCTGTAAGCTTTGCCTTGATGCACATGTACCTGGGGGGGCTCTCTTCAGCCCCTCACCACACTCACCCGCCCCTATGCCTTGCCTTTTCCCTCAGGCCCTGGAACACAGTGGGGCTGTGGACTTCTTGGTGTGTAACGCTGCAGTGAACCCCTGGGTTGGGGGCACTCTGGGGGCCAGTGAGGAGATTTGGGACAAGGTAAGAGACTGCTGGGAGCTCACTGAGGGATTGATGTGGGTCTCCAGAGGGCCCAGCCCACTGGGACTCTTCCCTCCCTCCCACCTTTATTGTAAATAGAGGTCTGACCTTTTGTCCCAGTGTGCCCTGTTGTTTGTGTATTTTTAAAGCGAGTACTGACACTCTGCTTTCTTTTCTCTTCCCAACCTTTTTGCATTTATTCATTCAGCAAATATTTAGTCAGGGCTTGCTATGTGCCAGGCATCTTCCAGTCTCTGGGAACACAGCTGTGGGAGTAAGTCTCTGCTCTTGGCAGGACTCACGAATCCTAAGGTCTCTGTTTTCTGTCACCAATTTATGTCTTACATCCTTCTGTGGGATTTATATTGGTGGTGGTGCTCCTGTTTGGTGACTCATACTTGCTGCTGAGATTCTCTGCCTTCCTAGACCAGGGCTCCTCACTGTCCCTCAAATGAATCTGCTGCACCTGTCAGGCCTGGACACACCCATCAGCTTCTCGTGGGCTCAGAGGTCCCAACTCAATTTGAGTTCACTTAAACACTCTCCTCCTGTGGACTTCTGGCCAAGATGGAGGCATAGGTAGACACACTGTGCCTCCTCACACAACCAAAATAAGGACACCAAAAACTTAGAAACATAAAAACAACCTGTACTGACAGAAAACTGAACTGTATGGAAGTCCGACAGCCAAGGAGTGAAAATAGACACATTCTTCCAGACTGGTAGAAGGGGCAGAGTCAGGCGGCCATGTGGAGAGGGGTCCGGCAAAAAAAGTGGCGGCTGGCCAACCTGGGGGCGGGGGAGGCAGCAGTGGGCAGACCCAGCGAGGAGGAGGTTGTGGAGGGGCGCAGTGCACAAGGCATCTGGCGGACCAGGTGGTCCCACATTCTCACACAGATAAACCAGGAGAGACTGGGGAGCGAGACAGAACACACAACCCATGGCTCTAGCGTGGGGAAATAGAGCCTCAAAACACCAATTGATAACATCTGTGGGGGTTGAGGTGCCAGGAGGAACTCCCAGCCTCACAGGAGAGTTCGTTGGAGAGACCCATTGGGTTGGAGAATGTACACAAACCCACCCACAGAGGAATCAGCACCAGAAGGGTCCAGTTTGCTTTGGGGAAGCAGCAGAAGGGACTGAAAGCCAGCAGTGAGTGGAGCAACCACCATTGTTCCCTCTCAGACCCCTGCCCCACCTATAGTGTCACAACACAGTGATGTGGGTTACCCTGCCCTGGTGAACACCTAAGGCTCCACCCCTCACTATATAACAGGCAAGTCAAGGCAAAAAAAAAATGGCCCAAATGAAAGAACAGATTAAAGCTCCAGAACAAATATGACTAAGCGACCAAGAGATAGCCAACCTATCGGATGCACAGTTCAAAGCACTGGTGATCAGGATGCTCACAGAACTGGTTGAATTTGGTTGCAAATTAGATGAAAAAATGAAGGCTATGCTAAGTGAAATAAAGGAAAATGTACAGGGAACCAATAGTGATGGGAAGGAAACTGAGACTCAAATCAATGGAATGGACCAGAAGGAGGAAAGAAACAACCAAACAGAAAAGAATGAAGAAACAAGAATTCAAAAAAATGAGGAGAGGCTTAGGAACCTCCAGGATATCTTTAAACATTCCAACGTCCAAATCATAGGGGTGCCAGAAGGAGAAGAAGAAGAGCAAGAAATTGAAAACTTATTTAAACAAATAATAAAAGAGAACTTCCCCAATCCGGCAAAGGAAATAGACTTCCAGGAAGTCCAGGAAGCTCAGAGAGTCCCAAAGAAGTTGGACCCAAGGAGGAACACACCAAAGCACATCATAATTACATTACCCAAGATTAAACAGAAGGAGAGAATCCTAGAAGTAGCAAGAGAAAAGGAGACAGTCACCTACAAAGGAGTTCCCATCAGACTGTCAGCTGATTTTTCAAAAGAGACCTTACAGGCAAGAAGGGGCTGGAAAGAAGTTTTCCAAGTCATGAAAGGCAAGGACCTATATCCCTGAATACTCTATCCAGCAAAGCTTTCATTTAGAATAGAAGTGCCGATAAAGTGCTTCTCAGATAAGGTCAAGTTAAAGGAGTTCATCATCACCAAGCCCTTATTATATGAAATATTAAAGGGACTTATCTAAGAAAAAGAAGATAAAAAACATGTATAGTAAAATGACAGCAAACTCACAATTATTAACAACCACACCTAAAAACAAAAACAAACTAAGCAAACACCTAGAACAGGAACAGAACCACAGAAATGGAGATCACATGGAGGGTTAGCAACAGGGGAATGGGAGGAGGAGAGAGGGGGAAAGGTAAAGGGAATAAGTAGCATAGATGGTAGGCAGAAAATAGACAAGGGGAGGGCAAGAATACTATGGGAAATGTAGAAGCTAAAGAACTTATAAGTAAGACACACAGACATGAACTAAAGGGGGGAAATGTGGGTGGGAGAGGGTGTGCAGGGTGGCTGGGAGTGAAGGGCGGAAAATGGGACAACTGTAATAGAATAATCAATAAAGTATATTTTAAAAAACCCTCCTCCTGTTGCACAAAGGCCGAGGAGAGACCTTATAAAATGCCTTGAGGTCCATCTTGGGTTTCATTGCTTTCCCACAACTGTGGGGAAAACAACAGGCAGGCCGGTCAGTTACAGATGTGCAGTCTCATTCCTTGGAGGCACAGGACACAGCTGACCTCACTGGACACAGACCCCACAGGAGGCATCTGCTGCCACCTTAATCCCCAGTGACACTCTGTTTCAGACCCCAGCTCAGTCTCTGCATCTTTCCTTAACAGTTCCTCTCCCACTCCTTTCCTGTCCCTGGACCCACAGGACAGAGTTCCCAGAAGTTCAGGGACTGTTATGTCTGAGCCCAGATCCAGGCTATAGTCACAGACAGGATGCGCATGTGCTCCTGACACAGAGTCGAGATTCTCTGTTATGTCTCCCTCTTTGTGCTGGCCACAGGAAAGCTCAGGGCCAGGTCTGCAATAACCCGACATGTGTGTGGGCCCTCCCAGCATGCATTTCTGTGACCATCTAATACAATAATGCGCAGTCCTGACTATGTGCTGGGAAATGTGGGCCCCAACTTCACTCTTGCTTTTTCTTATTTTTCAACACTTATTTTCCCACTCTAGTTCTTCATGTATAATGTCTACATTAATTTGTTTTGTGTTGTTGCATCATAGTATGCCTCAAATTCAAATAAAAACACAGACAGAAAAAGATAACTCCTCCTTGAAAAAAATTTGCCTTGTTCTTGCTACCTAAGACTTTCCCTCCACCTGTTCTTCAATCTTTTTCCAGGGCCCTCTGCTTATAACTTTGCTCTGCTCTTAAAGGCCTGAACATTTTCTTCACTCACCTGAACCCTGAGCTGTTTGCATTTTCAGGGCTCTGCTTACAGGCCCACCCCTTATCCTGCCAGCCTAGCCAACTATTAGCAAGTCAGAAATACATCCTGCCTGGGTCAAATGTGGGACCGGGCTATCCAAATGGCACACATCTGGGTTCTCCCTGACTGTGTCTTTTTCACTGTCCACAATGTCCCTGCCCTGATTCCAGATCTTGAATGTCAATGTGAAGTCTCCAGCCCTGCTGCTGAGCCAGCTGCTGCCCCACATGGAAAAGAGAGGGTAAGGCTAAAGGGCTGAGTCAGAGGTTGTTGCAAGATGGGGAGACTGAGCCATAGGAATTCAGTGTGGAGAGCACAGGAGCACAGCTGGGAGTGGGGAGGACAGAGGTGGTCTCTCTGGTAGCTCCGCATCTCCCTACCTCTGCCTTGCCTCATCCTGTGCACAGTCACAGCTTCTAATTCTAGTGTCTTCAGGATGAGGGCTATGTTTCAAGGGCCCAGGCATGTTCCAGTGGCCCTGACATCACCAGGTCTGGGAAGAGGCTGTGCTTTAGCTCTTTAACCTTTAGCTGTTCATCCACACCCTTACCTATCTGGTTCTGTCACAGCTCGACAATCCCTGTTCACCGACTTACACACTATGATGGGGTTTGTCCCATTTCTGTCCACAAGGAGAAGCCATCCCAGCCCCACCCCCCTCCGGCTCATTCCCTACTTCTTGGTCTCCAGGGTCCCTGCCCTGTTCCAGATCCTGCATATCTGACTGTGGGTCTCCTGATAGGGACTTGGGCCACCACCTCCCTTGGGATACCTCTGCTTCTCTGGCTTCTCCTTGCAGGCACACTCTTTGGGAGCTGGCTGGGGGTTCTCTTGGGGAGAAGAAAGTTCCTGACTGCCATTTCTTGAATCCTTCTGGCCTGTCTGCTTCCCTGAGGAGGTACATGGACAGGCATCCTGATCAGCTCTGGTGCGTCTTCACATGCCCGTGCTCTCTTCCCCACACACCTCACTCTCTGCTCATCACTCCTTGCAGCAGAGGCAGAAGAGTATAACTCTTCTCAGCATGGGCCCTGGGTCAGAGAGATAGGGTTGGCATCCCAGCTCTGCCGCTTATTGGCTGTGTTACTGAACTTCTCTGAGCCTCGGTTCCTTCAGCTGTAAAATGGGGATAATAGTAGGAGCTGTGTGAGGATTGCACGAGTCAAAGACTGCATTATAGCGCCTCAGTCAGTGTTGACTTATTAGCTCTTTCTCCCCTCTGTGTGTGTCTGTCTTCTCTCAGGAGCAGAGTTGTCATCCTGGTCTCCTCTGTTGCAGCTTATATTCCCCAGGTGGTGAGTGCTGGTTGGGAGGGGGCAAGAGTTCCCTAGAGTCCCACAGGGTCAGTGCCTGGAACATACCCCCACTTGCTCCTGCTGCCCAGGGCTGAATTAATGCCCATGTGCCTGCTGGATCTCTCAGACCAGCATCTGTTCTTGAAACCGATCAGGGAGTGTGCTTGTGGTCTGAACTCAGGCCAGCTGTGATTGTCTATAGGTAAGAACTCCAACTGATGTGATACTTCCCCCGACATCCCCATATCCTCCTAATCACTGCTAATCCCATCACAGGAGGTAGGTCTCTACACTGTCAGTAAGACAGCCCTGCTGGGCCTCGACAGGACACTTTCGAAGGAGCTGGCCCCCAAAGGCATCCGGGTGAACTGCCTAGTTCCAGGAATAATGGAGACTGACTTCAGCCAAGTGGTGGGCACTGGGGTGTGTCCTGTGTTTCCCTAGCCTGGCAAAGTGGAAACCCTTCCCAGTGACTAAAGATAAAGGGGATCCGTGTCCTCACCGTCCTCTGAACTCAGCCATGATCCTGTCCATCAACACTTAGAAAGGCAGACATGCCACTTGACTTCCTTGTGGCCCTGCCATCTCCTTGTTTTCTCAGTAGCAACTCTTTAATCTCTTTCCTTTGCTCAGTTTCATAAGAGCAAGACTCTTTGGAACAACTACAAGGAAACCCTGCTGGTGCAGAGGCAAGTGAGGTTTGGGGCTTCAGTGGTCTGGGTGTGTAGGGGAGGGGCATCTGAGTCTATCTCAGGAGCAGACCCTCCCTGTCTGCAGACCATTCCTTCTGCTGGCAGCCTGTCTGTGCAAGCAGCCCTGCTGAGTCCACCCTGTCACTCCATGAAGCCCACTGCCACCTGGGGCCTGTGAGCCCTAGAGCAGCAGAACCAGAGTGTGAGATCACTGACGCTGTGCCCTGTCCTCCCGCCTTCCCTGTAGGACCGGGCAGCCAGAGGACTGTGCGGGGCTTGTGTCCTTCCTGTGCTCTCCAGATGCGAGCTACATCACGGGCGAGAACATCGCTGTGGCCGGGCACTCCACGAGGCTCTGATGGGGCCTGAGGGCCACAGATCTGTGGGTCTGGGCCTAGGAGCCTGAGGGTGGGAGGGCTATGCAGTTGGTCTTCAGGGTCTGGGGAGAGAGTGCAGAGCTCTGCCAGACTATACTTAGCAGGCTTGCTCATGCCAGATTGAGGCAGAACCCCCAGTAGTCTGTCTGATCCTTGGGATCCTCTGTGTGCCTGTAGTAGATCTGGCTGCTGTGACCCCACGAACATATAGGTTTCTGGTGTGGGGCTGTGGAGCTGAAGGAGTTCACAGGGCTGGTGCTTTGAGGAACCCAGATGGACAGGTCTACACACTCAGGCTACTGAAGGATGCTTGGCTGCTTCTCTCTGTTCTTTTTGCTTTGTACACTTTTTTTTCCCTAAAATAAAGTCCAGCATATCATCAATTCCGGAAATTCTTGGGCCAAGGGCAGCATGGCTACAGATAGGCCTCTCCCATGCCCTGCCTCCTGTTGCTGCCCTGGGCCCATCACAGACCCCTGTCACAGTGGTGGGGAGGGAGCGTTCACACAGGCTCTTCTCCATTCTCTGAGCTGGGGCTGGTGGAGGCTGAGCAGGGCTGCAGGGAGTGGTGGCAGGAGGGGCACGGATTCTGGGGTTCTTCCTGGGGTTCTAGAGGTTAGTGCTTGTTAATTATTTGTGTGTTACATAGGACCTTTATCACCTGAAGAAAAAAGTCACACCTAATTTGTGTGTGATTCCAGGTTGAGAACTTCTCATTTAGACAGAAGAGAGTTGTGGGTACTGATGTTTCTCTTGGCATTGGCTCCTCCTGGTGAAGGCCCTTTCTCTTGTCCTGAGTCAGATTTGGGGGCATCATCACCATGTGTCGACAGGTGTGAGGCTCAGCAGAGTTGAAGGGAAGCAGTGGCCTTGAAGTCACTCAGGGCTCTGCAGACACCTCTCCTCCTCTCTTGCCGTCCATTTGTCTTGTCCTGAATTGATCCCAAGGGAGAACCTGAGACATGGCTTTCAACTTGACCTCTTGCCTTCACTTCACTGAAGACTCTCACCAGTGTCCTCTCTTTGGACCTCCCAGGGGTCCTTGCTATGAGAATAACTCAATTACAAAAGCATATTGCTTTCTACTGCCTACCTCGTGTTTGGCCAGGCAATGTGGGGTACACAAAAGTAGATAAGATCCAAACTCCCTCAAGTCTGTCATTCTGGTTGGAAAGCAGCAGGTAAAACAGTCATCAATAAAGGAGGCAGAATATGTTCATTTATTCAATAAATTCATTGTATCACTCAATTGCGTATACTGTTCTAGGACCTTATGTTGCAGGTATGTACAAAACAAAGGTGACTGACCTACAGAGCTTACATTTTAGTGGGCAGCATATACAATAAACAACAATCATATTACAAATAAACTATATAGTGTGTTGTTATGTACATAGGTACAGAAGAAAAGAGTGTAGGGTGGGGTACAGTTCTTCACTCAATTCTGATATGTGTGTTCTGTTAGGGTGGGCCCATGCCACGGGCCATGAAAAAATTTCCAACAAGAAGAAAGTGCAGAGAGCAAAGTTTTATTCCGTTGCCCAGAAGGCAAAAGGCTGATGTGAAGTGATACGACAGCAATGAAAAGTTGGGACTGTTTTTATTGGGTTATAAAAAGGGTGGGGGATGGAGCTGGGTAGCCATGGCAATTAGTTGTAAATTAGGAGGTTTCTGGCTAATTGTGCTGTGCATGCTTCAGTTTGTTTGCTGCTGTGTTTGGGTTCAGGATCCTGGAGCTCTAGTCTGGCATATCTTGTTTGTATAATTTTTAAAACACCTGTTTAGGGGATGCTTTAGTAATCTCTCCAGTCCTGAGAATAGAGGCTCAGAAAAACAACAGTTAATTATGCTTGACATACTCAAGGAAGAGATAGCTAGCTCTAGTGAACAGGGCCTGAAAGGGGATGTTTTGTCTTTTCAGGTTCTTTCCCCTCTCCAAGAATTTTCCGACACCAGCTGCATGTCCTATAGTTCAACTCAATCATGATATTGTCTGCTTGAAAACAGTGTCAGATTCCACATTTTATAGACTGAGTCCTATGGGACACCCCTGCAAAGACCAGATTTTTTCAGTCTCCTTTCCCTCCCCCCATAGTCTTTTTCAGGCCAAACTTCCAGCTAGAGACTGTGGATGGTAGATAATTGAACACAAGTGCTTCCTTTGGATAAATAACCTTAGTATTTACTTGGTTCCCAACAGCCCTTGGGTAGTACAGAGAAGTTTTCACCTGAGCAGACAGTGAAAAATAACAAAAAGAAAACCAAACCAAAAATGTACTTAAGTTTGGCACATGAGAGAGTTTCTGTTGACTTCGGGGTATTTGAGTGCTGGGAAGATGTTGCAGGGAGGGAGGAAATGAGGCCCTGTTAGTGAGGGAGGCAGTGAGTGGGGCTAATGAGTTTATAGCTCCTTCAGTTGTGGGTAGGTAATCAGCAACTGGGACTTGGCATATTTGACTGCACCTGGGAGCACTTTGTCTATGTTTGTACATTCAAGTTATCCCATTCATCTCTGTTTCCTTGAGAATGATGTGGAAAAAATTATCAGGGTAATGGGGGATTCTAGGCTATCCAGGGATGGCCACAGGTGAGAATAATCATAAACTGGGGTGATGACATTCCAGCCTGAGGGTTCTCTGTCTCATGACCCTTTAGGCTACTCAACATTGTTTAGATATTGTGACTCCAGGAATAAAAAGTCGCACAAGATCTAGCCCCTGGCCTGGTGTTTCTTTTTCTTTCTTTCTTTCTTTCTTTTTTTTTGTTCCAGACCACTCTGGTGGTGGGTCTCTTGTCCCAGCACAGTACAGTACTAACTTCTACATTAAAGCCCCAACTGCCTCTGCTGAGCTCTCACTTGAGGGGCTGAACTCAGGGGCAGGAGGGCAGCTTGAGGGGCAGTGTCAGGGTGGAGGGTGCTGGTGCTGTGTTGGGGCAGTAGGGGTGGTCCCAGGATGGCCTGAAGCAGTGTAGCTGGACCCAAGAGTCAAAAGTGAAGTTGCATGGAGGCTGGGCTCTGTAGGGTGAAGTGAGAACAAAAATGGGTGAATGCCTAAGGCTGTGCTTATTCACCACTGCCTTCATCAGTGAAGATCCGGGGTTAAATTTTACCAAAATTTGCTTCTACCTAAAGCAAATACTCACCCTAGCCAATTAAATGCTGGGATAAACATTAGTTGATTAACAGAATAAACTTAAAGATTGGTAATAGAATGGAAGTGGAGGAAACGAGTAAACAGAACTAAGCCCACAGGCCACTAGTGTGCCCTCAGGCCCCCTTATGCATAGGCTGGGACCCTGTATGGAGGCAGGTGAGGGGACTGAAAGAGCCGTTCAGGGCATGACTGTTTTGTGTGCCCTGGGTAGCTGGACTCAGTGTTATAGTTTTTGTCCCTTAAGCTCTTAAAGACCAAAAGATGCTGTTCCCTATGCAAGAAGGGTTCTTACAAATCCTGGGGAGCAATATGATCCCTTTGCCGATCATTTTATCAGCAAACCTTGATGTTTTCTAATTTCTACCTGCTCCAGATAAATTAATTTGTCTACATATATGCAACTTGTAAGAAGCAAGGCTGAGATTTGAATCCACATTGGTCTCACGATCACCTTCCATGACAGAGTGATAGCTGGGGCTCTGTCAGCCTAGTTCTCTCTGGGAAGTCTGTCCTAGTTTGGTTTCTCTTGAAAGTAGAGCCAAAGACGAGAGCTTTTGAACAGGAGATGTTAGTGAGCAGAAGTGAGGGCGTCAGCAGGGAAGCAGGGAAAGCAAGCATAGGGGTGTGTAGGAAGGGTACCAGTGCATGCAGCTCGCTCCATTTATGGTCTCCCAAGTGGAGTATGGAATGCCTCTCAGATTTAAAGTGTCCCCCTTAAGGGTGGCAGGTGGGAAATTTATCCATGCTCTCTCATCTCCTATTTATCCAGGGTGCCCCCACACTTTGAATCAAAGAGGAAGATGCTGTCTGCAGTGCAGTGAGTCAAAGCTCACAGGGAAGGTCTCAGCCCAGCCAGATCAGGAATCAGTATGAAGGCAAGAGGCTGTGAGTCAGGGCACTAAATGTTTCTACTGCGAGGTCTTTAGGAAGTAATAATCCTTGGTCTCAAATATGTTTAGGGGGTAAAACACTCAACTAATTTCTCCTGTGAGACCCCTGGGAGAAACACAGTCTTTCCTCTTCCCCAAATAACAATTAGTCCACTTGCCCCAAGGGATAGCCTTCAGAAATTTTCACTGGAGATCTCAGATCTCCAGTTAATGGTTTGAGTGGTCTACATGACTGTCCCATGGGGTATTCACAAGCAACCAGAGAATTGAAAGCATGGGAAGACAAGAAAGGAAGTTCAAAGAGGAAACTCTCTCTCTCTTTTTATTGTTGTTCAAGTACAGTTGTCTCCATTTTCACCCCACCACTTCCCGCTGCCCCACCCATCCTGCCTCCCACCCTCGAACTACCCCCTTTGGCTTTGTCTGTGTCTTTTATGCATGTTAATCATGTGCAAAAACAGCTGGAGTCTTTCAACAACTAAATGTTCTACTTGTGAAAAAATAGAATATTTAAAGGCAATACCTAGTACCATAAATTTACATAATTTTAAAACCCTCTTTATTCTTCTTTAAGTAAAAATCCAGTTTTAGAATGTGAGGACCTGGGAGAGGAGGAATGCAAGGCCTTCTTTTGTTCCATTTCTGTCCAACTGAGTGAAACAATTGACAAAAGACGCTGATAGTAAGGATGGGTCCTTGGTGACCTGAAGCACCTCAGGTGTGGGACTGAGATGTGAGGCCTTGGGGTTTAATGACTGGAGCCCTCAGCAGTAACCCCCACCAGGGTGCAAGGCATTTTGGGTCTTGAATGTCCTGGGTCAGAGTTTACCAAGAAGATGACTATCCTTCCATCTAAAGCAAATGGTGCCTTGGGCCAATTAAACAGCTTACTGAGAGCACAGCTGCCCCACATCTGGAGAGTTTCTTTCTACAGGCA